TTGTATAAGCTTTGTCATCTGTAGGGTCATACTTTCTCCTCCGTATTTTAGAAGCTCGTTGGTTATTCCGTCTGGTCCTGGTGACTTTCTATTTTTGAGTAAATTTATGACTATTTCTACTTCCTGAAAACTGATTTCTATTTCGTGTCTTAATTCAGGTACGTTATCGTGTTGATTATTATTTTCCTTTGCTTTAAACAGTTCCGTCGGGTATCTTTCTCATTCGTTTGCTGGTATATTATTGTATTCCTTGAAGACATTGATGATAATATTATTTGTGAAGAATCAATAAAATCGGATATTGCAGGTACATATGAAATACAAGTGATTGGGAATTCTGATGATTCTGATTATGATATTCCTCTGAACCACAGATAAAACGACCAAAGAAAAAACCAGACAAAAATAGTAAATCCAAATTTATCTCAAGTTGTAATAACGGATATTCATTCGTGCTCAGTAGTAATGCAACATCAGTCATAGGAAAGTCATATATTGAAGTTTTTTTACTCTTTTTGATAAAAAAGTAATTGAGAATAACCGTCACAATTTTGAAATGAATAACATAGATTTAAATAAAATTATTAGCATATGTATTTTATCTGGTTTACACTTCGCTTTAAGTTGATATGCATTGATCAAAGGATGAGGATAAAGAAGTGCATATTATAAGAGAAAGCATGAGTCGACATAGATTTATAATTTTAATTTATAATAGTGAAGAAACCGCTACATCAGTGTCACTTAGTACATGGACGTCAATCTAAATTTGCTTTACCAGATGAAACCAGATTCGACAATATTGGCCACGTTACAAAAAGAGACGATAGTGCAAAAATCTAGGATGTACAAAAGTAATACTATTTATTGTATGTAAAAAGTTTAGAATGCATCTACACCCCGAATGTTTCGAAAATTTTCACCTTAAAATTTAATTTACGTTTAAGATACAATATGTTCCTTTATTTAAAATTGTACTGTTTTCCTTGAAAATGAGAAAAATTTTTTTTTTGGTTGTGAATCAGTCCTAATTTATGTGTTTTTAATCGAATCTAACAAATTAATTGTCAAATTTTTCTTTGTATATTGAGCGTCCGTTAAGGGTTTAATTCTATATAAAGAATAAACTGGCCTCAAATTTACTTTACTTACCTTAAAACTATTTTAAAGTTAATAATAAAGTCTATTTAAAAAATATTTTCCCAATAACACACTACGCTTATGCACAAATGTTTATAATCTGGAAGGAATAAACTAAGATATTATATTTCTCTCATTAACATTCTTTCTAAGAACGTAAATATATATAGACCAGCAAAATATTGATAAGTTTACCGATGTTTCAAACTATTCGTTGAACTTGTCTCACTAGGCACTCGTGAATCGCATTAATTTATATTGTTACGGGGGCAAATTTATCTTACATGGGTTACAAATTTACATACTTACATGGGCGAAGCATACACAATAAAAATGACCCCGGTAAGAATTTACTAATGAAATTTTACATGGTTGCCGCTACCGTTTAGTTCAATTTGTAGATTAGTCAGCTTTAATTGAAAATTGTTGGACTTATAGCAGCGGTAACAGTTTCAGCATCCCATTTTTCTTTATTATCACAAACGTCTTGAAAGAAGCCTATTAATGAATCATGGTATTGATATACTGTTTGCACTAAACGTCCATTGTAAAAATCTCATCTGAGCAAATTTTGGAAATTTTTTCTGAACGTGCATATCCGAAGCATGTGTTCTTTTTAATTATTTTATAAAATAGAAGGTTAAGTCAATTAGCGTCGCAAAGAAAACTTTAACATCTTTAATATTATCCATGCCTCGAAACAGAACCAAATTAAGTCGGTGTTCTAATCAGTGAACGAAAAATGCATGTTTAAAATTTTCCTTTACTTTAGCTTAAAAAGCTGCTAACTAGCCAGCTATTACCGCAACATCACCATGGCTCTGGGCAGCAAGTTTGGAATCACATTCTAACTTCGAAAAAGTATCACAAATAACTTTAAACATAGTCTCTGTAGTTAATCGCTAGTTATGTTGCACAAGCAAAAAGTGGTAAGGCCCCCGGTCCTGATGAAATTCCCGTAGAACTGCTCAAACTTATGGACGATGAATCTATTAAAATACTCCTAGATCTATTTAACACAATATATAGAACTGGAATAATACCTAGGGAATGGCTCCGTTCGACCTTTATACTACTGCCAAAAAAGGCAAATACAAAGGAATGCAATGAATATCGTACGATAGCTTTGATGAGTCATGCTCTAAAACTGTTCTTAAAAATAATCCATAATAGGATCTATAGAAAATTAAACGTAGACATCAGTAACACTCAGATGGATTCAGAAAAGGGCTGGGTACAAGGGAGGCTCTGTTTGCAATGAACGTTCTCTCACAGAGATGCTTAGACATGAACCATGATCCAAGATGAACCAAGAAATTTACGCCTGCTTTATTGATTTCGAAAAGGCCTTTGACAAAGTACAACATGAACCACTAAGACAAGTTCTAATAAAGAAAAATATAGACAGACGAGATATTCGAATTATATGCAATCTATATTGGAATCAAACAGCAAATGTCAAGGTTGAGGGCAGACTAACAGAAGAAATTCAAATCCGTCGAGGAGTCCGGCAGGGATGTATCTTATCGCCACTTTTATTTAATTTGTATAGTGAAGCTATCTGTGAACAAGCACTCGAGGAAGAAGATCTTGGTCTGATAATAAATGGTGAGACGATCAACAATATAAGGTATGCTGACGATACAGTTCTCCTAACGGGAACGCTAGTAGAACTACAACATCTCATTCAAAGTCTCAATATATACTGTAACAGTTACGGCTTGAAAATTAATTTGAAAAAAACTAAATTTATGGTAATCACAAAATCAAAGAACATCAGAGCTAATCTTGTAATAGACAATACAACGATTGAGCGTGTGCCCTGTTATAAATATCTAGGTGCTTGGATCACAGACGATACTGATCAAACAAAAGGGATTAGATGTAGAATAGAAATCGCTAGATCAGTCTTTAATAGAATGCGCAAACTCTTTTGCAATCGTGATATCAATATAAAGTTACGAATACGAATGCTGCGGTTTTATGTCTTTTCTACCCTGTTATATGGAGTTGAGGCTTGGACACTAAAACAGTTGACCATAAAAACATCGAAGCTTTCGAGATGTGGTGCTATAGGCGCATTCTCAGAATATCATGGATGGACCGCGTCACTAACACGCAAGTACTGCAAACTTTAGACAAAAGATGCGAAATTCTAAATGAGATAAAAACTAGAAAGATGGAATACTTGGGGCACATTGTGAGAGGTGAAAACTACGAATTTCTAAGAAACATCATGTGTGGCAAAATTAAGGGCAAAAGAAGTGTGGGAAGAAGAAAAATATCGTGGCTTCGTAATCTACGTGAATGGTTCGAGTGTAGTTCGATTGAACTTTTTAGGCGCGCTGCTAACAAAGTCGCAGTGGCCATGATGATTTCCATGGACGTATAAACACAGATGGACTCAGTTATTTACATAAAATTGTGAAGTCAAAATTATTTGAATATGTCACATTCTCAGCACCTCCAACTGTTGTCACGTTTTTTTATTAAAATTTCTTATTCGCGAGTCGCTGAAAATATTACTCCGTATTTTATACTCTACAGGTGCTATCAAACCAAAATAATAATTTATTGGTTATATTAATATATCTAATTGTAATCAAAATATCAAGTGTGCACATAGTGTGCATTATCATTTAATAATAGCGTATAATAGATATCAATCAATTATTTTATATTTAGAAGCACTGAAAACTATTTATAAATGGCAACGGTTGTTTACATTTCTCTGTTTTACGGTTCTACGTCAAACTTCAAATGCTATTCCATGTTTGTTTACAACGATTGAGGAAATAAGGAAACATTGTTTTTAGATATTTTGGCTGTATTTTGAGTGATATTTGTGAAAAGTGAAATAAAATAAACGAAATATTTACATCCCGGTCTCTCATTTCATTTGTAAGTACATACAATTTACATTATTTAAGATGAGGAAATGAAAAAGCGTGTTTGTTTACATTTTAATAGGCGTACCATTGGGTTTATTCATGTTCATTAATGTATTCAATAAGATATAATAAAATTGTATTTTAATTTTTCTATAAAGACGTGATTTGTTAATAGTTAAATTCTCGTTTTTTTTAAATTCTTTGAACGTGTTTTTATACATTATTACTACTTCCAATTTTTAAAATCTGAATAATTACCCGCGAGTAAAAATTCAAGCACGCTTATACTCATTGCGGAAGCATCACATTTTATCGAAGCTTCAAAACATTGTGTGTTAAATGTATCTTATTGCTGTGTCCATCTATGTTTATACGTCCATGATGATTTCCAATCTCCGCTAGGAGTGGCACGAGAAGAAGTATGTTTAAAAATTCCAAGAATCGCTCTTGATGAATGCCATCAACTACATAAATGGCACAATCATCGATAACTTACAAAAATTAGTTTTTATCAAGTGCATTTGAAACAAAGGCTGCTATATTATTCTAATTTTTAATGTGAGTGTGTTTAATCATTACATCATCAGCAGTGCATTTAATTCAATCGTTTTGGATTCTGTTTAAGGTACCTCAAAATGAACTGTCGAATTAGTAAAATGATCTTTTAGGATCATATTTTGATACTAAAAATTACAAGGTCTATATAATATCCTCGATTAGCTGATTCATTTGTTTCATTATGACCTCTGAATCTTGATTCATGTTCTCCCAAGAAACAAGTTACTCAATCAATCAATCGAGAAATCAATTACTCGTTTTAAGACATTCCTATTTTTTTACCCTTTTATTGTGAAATATGTGGCTTATTTTCAAATATTTATCCAAACTATAGGTATGTATTACAAGGTAATGCATTATAAAAAATGACAAATAATAATACATTAGAGGAAAAATATTTTTATTACTTACCCAATAAATCTGCTTGTGGAAACCATTTTCCAAGTTGAACGTTCTTGGGCAAATTTGGTATATTTCCATTGTATTTCCAAAGAACTTTTTGTTTTAGTTTTCCTAAAGCATTGACTATAGCTTTTTGTGTCTCGGGTGCCATCTGAGCTGGATCAACGTTCGAACCAAGACTAAAGTACACAACTCCTTCTTTGGCTTTGTCCATAAATACTTTAAGATCTTTCGGTAACTCTTTTGCAGGCTTGACGTGGTGACCACCAATGTTGATCATGTTGGGTACTAGAGGTATAGGTTGATTGGCGCTTTCATGGGTTATCAGAAATACTAATGAAGCATTATAAAAAGCAGCATCCTGATCTGTGCATTTTGGAAAATGTTCACTCATTAACTTCTTTTGTTGGGGCATAAAATATAAGTGTTTGGTGATATAGTTACTCAGAAGTAAAACCGAGTTTACTGTTCTTTGCCACAAGTTCATGTTGCTATCGTAATTTAAGAAGAAATCTGGATAGTACGATGGTTCAAGTGGACTGCCCACCATAGGGTTTACCCAGAAAGTTGCTCCAGCTACACTAAAGACAATTAATGGAGCATTGTAATGACACTGCAGAATATTTAGAGCGTCCGTTTTAAAATTTTGTACTATTATTACGTCAAATTTTTCATTTGAACTAATCAATTTCTTAAAATTTTTATGGTTTAGTACGGCATTAGTAATTTTATTACCGACAAAGTTCATAAATCCACTTATTATAAAAGGATTTATATTGCCCAATTCAAAAGGTGATACTAAAAATAAACAAAAATATTAAAATAATATAAAATATAATATATATATATATATATATATATATATATATATATATATATATATACAGTATTGGAAGATTCAAAACGGAACATACGAAGTATTAATACAATTATTAAGATCCCCTGACCTGCAATTACCCAGTGTAAATTTCAATATAACGTCGCGATGTCTTATAATTAATTCATTTGTTCGACTGGACTCCTTCTCCAGTCGATATTTTTCGACTGCTGCGCACGTGCGCACCTTAATAATACGACTAATAGTTGATTGTGTCGGTATTGGCCTATCTTCATACGCACAAGTAAATAAATTTATAATATCACGGTACGAGTTGCCCCCATAATACCATTTTAAAATTTGTACTTTTTCTTTGTTTGTATACATGGTTTATGGTTAGAAACACTACTTTTATTTCAGCTTATGGCGTTATAATGAGAAGCAAAGCAAAGGGCATGTATTTGTTTTGCTCGGCCAGTGATGTTCCTTGGGACTGTTGCCAAATCGATAGATACCTTCGGCAAAAATCTGTAGATTTTGATGTATCATATACATCCTTTTAAATTTTAAATTATCAACAATATTTGGAATAATAAATATATTAAACTATACACTAACCAATTCAAATAATATCTAATGAACACAAAAAAATTGTTATTAATAAAACATTGTTATTATCTGCACAAAAACACAGAAAATCAGTGGACGATAGACAACAGTGTCGACGTACACCTGTCGAATACGCTACTAGAAATCGCCAAGGAGTAGCAATCCAGTCGAACAAATGAATTAATTATAAGACATCGCGACGTTATATTGAAATTTACACTGGGTAATTGCAGGTCAGGGGATCTTAATAATTGTATTAATAATTCGTATGTTCCGTTTTGCATCTTCCAATACTGTATATATATATATATATATATATATATATATATATATATATAATATATAAAATAATAATAATAACTTTTACCAATAAGGTGACAAAAATGGGCCAAGAAACGATCGATTATCGACAAGATGTGTATGCGGTATTTTGCAGGCAGTACCCAGAGATTCAAGTTTCTGAACAAGTATCAGTTCAATATAGGGTCCTCCTCCTCATTCCTTGAGCCCTTGTTAGGGCGTGGTAACAGTCTAAATATTATTAGCTTGGTGCTGTTTCCATTGGCTGCGATGCTGTGCCAGGTTCAGTCCAATAGTGATATTGGACAATATTGGACAGATATACCCAAGCTAATGAGTGCTGATAAAAATGAGTCCTTGAAAAACCGAAATATTAGAGGTGAAGTAAACTTAATAATCTGAATAACTACTAACACAAATGGAATTTTTTATTGATGATAGGTGCAAAAAAAGATAATACAGTAGGCGGTACAGTAGACTAGCGCGAAGCTATAATCATGCTATATTTTCTGTATTTTTAAAATTTAAATAATGTTTTTAAAATTGAATAAAGTAATTTGATTATTTATTTATTGCTTGGATTTTAAACAAATTACATTGTATTAAAATAATTCAATAAATTATTATGTTTGCTTCTAACGCTACCTGCTACCGTAGTAACCAAGCATACGTTGTTCACTTCTGACAGACCAGTAAAATTCAGACGACGTACTAAATTAACAATTATTACATATAAATAAATATCATTTGATAGGGAAATTAATTATTGTATAAACTAAATAAGATAAAAATAAAAACTAAATAAGTTTAAAAATAATAATTATATTTATATGAAATTATTTTAAAACGAGATTTGTCATAAAAATTTAAACAGATGATTCAATGTTGTTATTAATTGGGTGGTATTTATGACGTTTAAATTTTGACAATCGTTGTAAATCAATCTTTATTGCATATCTTTAATTTTTTTACGTCTTATTTAATGTCTGATTGTGTTAGTTATTTTTACGCAGTTTTTAATTTAAATCTGTTTAGAATAAATATAGGGTGAATAACATTGAATTTACCCATTGTGCATCCTCCCAGGGAGTTGTCATCCTTAGCTCATTGTCCATACTGCCATTTCTAGGAATGTAAACAAGTCACCAGGAGACTTCTCCCGTATGTGCTCAGGTGTGAGCCAGGACTCGCCGAACGCGTACTCTCGTATTAACGATAACTAGGGGAATTCACATAGGACGTGCTCTACAGTTTTGTCTTCTCGTTCGCACTTCCTGCATAGAAGTGTGTCTAATAGCTTCATTGTGTGGAGGTGTTTGCTTAGTTGACAATGACCAATTAAAAAAACAACTCTCAAGCGTAGGTTTCTCCCGGTCATTCCCAAGTATTTCTTTAATGCTGATTTTTCAAGGTTACTTAGTGTTACCCTGGCAAGTCTACATCCTTGCCCTTCTTCCTATCTTTTTACGGTTTGCATATGGGAGTGACATTTGACAATTTCCACGATTGCTGTAGTTGACGAATCACAAAAATCTCTAGGTTCAAGACAATTGGTCTGCAATGCGGTTGCCTTTACTCCTACCGTGTCCTTTAACCCACCTCAGGATGATGGTATTACCATCCAAAGTTTGAGTTAGTGACTCGTGACACTCCATTACTAACCCTGACATGACATGTGGTCTATTCAAGGTTAGTAGCGCTTGTCTGCTATCTGTGCAGATAAATATATTTTTCCCGGTTATACCCTTTTTTGGTTCATCTCTTTTGCGGATATGGAGAAAACAGCCAGTTCTGTCTGAACTACGCTGGCATTTTTGCCCATACCCCACTTTATTCTTAGGTTTAGTGAAATGTTCTAAGATAATTAAATTTGGGTGAATTGATTTAAATGGCAGCTATAATTCCACTTCGGAAAATCCGTTTTTATATAAATAAAATTCATTAATGTTTCGTGTTTTAAGTACGATTTTTAAATTAAATATCTAAAAATCAAAATAAGCTTATTTTAAAGTCACATTGTGCCTTATTCCCAATAAAAATAATAAACTGCATTATGACGCCAGAATAAAAAAGCTTAATACAAAATTATTTGGCAACGTCGCGTCTCGCGGCAAGGACAGTGTTTACGAGTAGAGGTGGGTCGTTGACGTTTTTATCGTTAACGCAACTGAACCGTTTTTCGTAAACAAGTAACTAGTTGATTGTTTAACAGTAGTTTCAAGTGGCTTATTATTATTGGTTATTATGTTTATGTGTATATTTATTGAAGTGAAAGAAACTAATGAAGGATATATTTGTTTTAACTTGAAAAATAAACTAAACAATACAAATAGTAAATCGTACTTACATTCACATTACACGTTATTATTATTATTATTGTTATTTAAAAACATAAGTTTTTCTACTTTAGTTCTTGTTAACCGTGTTCTTCTTTTATTTAAAATTAAACCAGATTTTGAACATGTGTTTACATTTACAATATTTTATGAATATAGTGGTTAAGTTAGGATATACAAGGCGTTGGTTTTTTCACCACTGTAATGGACTCTCGATACAGGTGTACGTTTAGATGAGTCATGTCCAAGTAATTGATCAAAAGTACAGAATGGACTTAAGTCATCTTTAGCGGTTTCTTTTTGTTGCACTGGTTAATTTTCAATAGTACAATCTTCTTTTTCTTTAATTATAGCAGTAACCAGCTTCCTAACTCTTTCTTTTGTCTTTTTAGCTTCATTTTTATCAGAAAATCCCTGCACTTTAAATCGTAAATTCCTAAATATACATAATGACAATGTGCCACTCTATCCCTCTAAATTTTTTTGCTAAACCCGATATTAGTAATTGTACTACGTCGGATACCATGGATGTAAAGTAACCGTGTTCTAAAATTTCATTGCAAGATTCGAGCAGGCAGCGTACCATAACAATCACTTAACTACCCTTTAAGTATTTTTGGTTACTCATTGTACTTGTTATTTTTTTAAAAGGCCGTAAAATTTGGGAAAGTTGAGAACAAATAATCCAGTCTTCATTATTTACATTTGGTCTAAGTCTGCATTAACTAATACCAATGTGGAACGGATTGCCTCTTCTAACTCGGTCATTCTTTTTAACATGTAATAGGTGAAGTTCCACCTAGTTTCCACGTCTTGGATTGGCCGTTTGGGAACTTTGTTATGTTGTAATTGATACTTTAAAAGCCCTTCTGAAGATAAGGTACTTTTTTGAAATGTGTTTTTGCCAATATGTCGAAAAAAGCTTTTATTTTACTATTGACGACAGCATTTAAATGCGTCCTCCACCAATAAATTTAACGTATGAGCAAAACAATTTAAATATTTCCATTCCAAAATATCTTTAATAGCTTTACTGCAAAATTTTCTTTTCGTTGTAGACCCCACTGATTAATAATTTCACTAATTTCAAAAGCGTTGTTTTCTGAATTATGGTTTCCAGAAAAATGGCAGCAGTCTAATAAAACCGTTTTAAATTCTACATTTTCGGTTAAATAATGTCCTGTTAATGCGATGAAACTCTGTTACTCCAGATGTCCAGAGGTCAGTAGTAATACAGATATTTTCTACTTCTTTAACAACTTGTGCTCTAATAATTTGCTCAGTTTTGATATAACATTCCTGAAGTAATGAACCTGACAAAGTTTTTCTTGTTGGCGGTTTATATCCAAGAATCCACCCTGCAAACTTTTTAAAAGCTCGTTCTTCAACTACGGAAAACGGATGGAACGAGTCTTTGCATAGGTTTAGTAAATCCATATCTATTTGTTTCTTTTGTTCTAAACTAATCTTTTTATTAATGGAAGTAGCCATCACCTTTTGACGCTTGGGTGGCAGTGGCAGTATGTCAGTACTTGTAGTAGAAGTAGTCGAAACGGACAGAAATGCGTTAGGAGAAGTTTCATTCATTGCAATATTCAGAAAGTGGACGATAAAAGCTGCATCTTCTACAAATGTGCATTTTTTGAAAATAAAATTATTATTCTTATACTAGGTCAATAATTTTGACTAAGAAAAAGAATTCTTAATTGAATATTTACAATAAATAAATCCTTTGACGAACTATCAATAAAGATTTGAAATCGAAAATGCAGATCAATCGAAAATCGAAACTCATTCATTAATCAGAATACCTAGTTATTTTATTTTCAACGTCAACCGATAGCCCGACTTTACACTGTCCCGAAAGAGTCACATGTTACTTTTAGTTTTGTTGTAGTCTCTCAGATCAACTAATCGTCCTCGTCGACGTAAAGTGTTCGTTGTTCCTCTGTTTACGTCTACACAAAAAGCAGTTTTTTTTAATCAACCATCAACTAGTCGGCTTACCAGTGGGAAACCGTAGATTCGCAAATGACAAATAACGATTTAAAATGCAGGGATTTTCTGATAAAAATGAAGGTAAAAAAACAAAAGAAAGACTTAAGAAGCTGGTTACTTCTATAATTAAAGAATAAGAAGATTGTACTATTGAAAATCAACCAGTACAAGAAAAATAAACCGATAAAGATGACTTAAGTCCATGGTGTATTTTTGTAATGTAATTGTCTGATGATATATTACCGACAAAAAATTTCGAACGGAGATTGAAACTGTCCATTACAGTGGTGGAAAAACCATCGCCATGTATATCCTAACTTAACCACTATATTCATAAAATATTGTAGTATTGTAGCAAAATCTGTTTCCTGTGAACACACCGTTGTCTTCTGAGATTAGTTCTCGACGTTTCGCCAACATTAGGGGTTGGCATCTTCTGGAGATGTTACTGCTTCGCTTGTAAGTTGAAACTCTTTCAACTTTCAGATAGAACAAGTCCAGAAATATATCTAACTAGGCCATATTCTAAAACTTGGCAAAGAAAACCAAAGTGCATAAATCACTAGATGAGCAAGACTGGTATGGACAAGATTTAAAAAACTCAGTTGGATACTGAAGCTGAATAAACTAGCCACAACAAAAAGAGCAATGTTAGGTATACGACTGTCAGATAAAAAGAGCAACGACTGAGTAAGATCAAAAACAAAAGTTAGTGATATGACAACAAAAACTGTCAAACTCAAATGAAGCTTCGCAGGTCACACTGCTAGACAACAAGACCAACGTTGGAACGCCACAATACAACATTGGAGACCTTACAAAGGTAGACGACCAAGAGAAGGACCACAAATGACGATGGATGACATCAAAGAATAGCCGGAACAAATCGAAAGTATGTTGCTCAGGCTAGAGATCGATCGAAGGAGTTTGCAGAGGTCTATGTCCAAAATTGGACGAGAGAAAACTAAGAAGAATATATTGATAGGCTATCAAACTATTTTTACAATTTTCGATAACTGTTCAGTGTAATAAGAAAAAATAAAACCTTTAGACCAATACATATTTTTTATTTAAAATATGTTTAAAGTTAAAAATGTGTTTTTGTAAATGCAAATGTGAATGTGAATGCCAAATATTGTATTTTATATGATAGTTAAAAAATTTTATTACATAGCAAAAGAAGTGTGCCTCACCTTTTGTTTCCTCTGCTAAACCTGTTAAAACGACATCCTTATAGCCTTTTAGCGGATTTTTATCTTCATAAGGACTTACTATTGTTACTTGGTGTCCAGCTTCTATAAGACCTCTTCCTAGTGCATTTGCAAGAATAAAATGGCTAGGTGAAACCATAGGGCTAACCATGAGGACATTATAGTTATGCACTGAATATATTAATGTGGATAAAATTAAAATAGTTATCTTCATTATATCTGTAACAAAAAGACAGTAATAATATACCGAGCCATCAAGAAATATCGTAAATAAAATAGTAGGTAAAAATAATATAATAAAATTATAGGTAGAAATATCGTAATCAATTGACAAGGATATATATCAAATCATCGAGAAAAATCATAGAGTCGGTCGAGAAATTTATAATTAAATGATGTTGGTTGGTAATTCAGTAAAAAACGTTTCAAAAATAGTTATAAGCCGGGACATTTTAGACAAAGGATGCCCCTTATTTTTAATATCAATTTGTTCTTTTTATGGAATAGATGAAAACCATTTTGCAAAATATAATTTACAATATCACATTTATCAGTGTCTACAGTTTCTCTCATATCTTGCATTTTTTACGTTAAGTTACCTGAATTTGTTAAAATTTGTTTACATTACTTTAAAAAATTAAAACAAATCAATACAAAACGAATCGATCGATACTCTCACAGGAAAACCATTCGGTGCACCATCACTGTACTTATCCCGAAATGACATTTCATTTGCGGCCAATACCAATAAAGCATCGGCAAATTCAATTCTGCCGTACCTACCGTTTACAGACGTACGGGGAGAAATGTATATATGGTTGCCTATCGACTAATATTTCGTTGATTTTTTACATGTAAATCGTCAAGCTTGGGATCGGCTTGCCGAAACGGGTCTGTATAAGAGTTCACCAGTCGGATGCATGACTTGGATCTAGGATCATTAAGTTAAAAAGTGTTTTGATGCGCAGGGATTACTTAACACTCGAATTGATTGAATTAATAATACATAAAAATACTGATTAAATTAAATATTAAAAAAATATATAATATCTATAAATGTGTGGGTCGGCACTGCCGATTTTAGCATTCTTATATCGTAGTTGTCAAGTTATGTTGCCCGCAGGCAATCGAAAAGTTATCGTGTTTTACTTGGTCGAATGCCTTCTTGAAGTGGATGGAATAAACATAAACGTTCTTTTGGAACTCATAGCTTTTTTTGCAAAAGAATGCGCATACAAAATACTGCCTCTCTAGTTCCTAGACCAATTCTAAATCCAAACTGCTTAGTACCCATTCTACTTTCACACAGAAGGAATACTCGGCTTTGTCTAATACGTAAAAGTATCATGTGTGGCTCATCAAACTAATTACTCTAAAATCGCTGCACTTGATGGGCCTGATTTTCTTTCGTAATATTATAAACAGTGATCCCAATCAATCATTTGGTATTATTCTTTTGTTGTAAAGAAAGTGGTTAAGTAGGTAGTGTTTTCCTCGTCCAAAAGTTTAAGTAGCTGTGTAGGCGTTTGTTCTGGTTCAGGTGCTTTATTATTTTTGGCTTGCTGTATTAATTTTTGCCTTGTGATTACCTATATTACATATAGGAGCATAATTATCTTTGTAATTATATTTATATTCGATATCTTATATTCGATTATATTTATATTCGAATAATTATATTCGATACTCCCCACATCTTTAACATATCACAAGCTTCAATAGTATGCCATTAACATTGGGATATAATACAGTTTTTGGCAATGCCCCCTCTTATACTATTCCCTCACCCTTTACAACGACCCAACGATGTACACAGTTACGGCACGATCCGACGAGCCAACGCGCCCCTTTCCTACAACCCCTCTTACAATCCAAGAAGCCGTTTTACCCCCACCACAAAACGCTCAAAAAATGAGCAGAATTAATCTAAGAATTTCTCGAAAACTATCCGAAAACCTACGGAAAAATCGATGCTCTGTCTCGTTCTAATACATGGGTTCTTATGGAGACTTGATGACGTTTTTTTCCCAGATCTGGAGAAATTTAACTTTTTTTGTACTCGTAGCCCTGCTGTCCTTTTACTTACACGAAGCAAAGCAAATCGTGCTTAACGTTTACAACGGTAAGCACTCGTTAAAAATACTCTTTAGCTAACCTTCCTAATACCGGGTGAATTTTAAAACGACCAGTACCAGGTGGGGCGACAGTAGTTTGGTTCACTTTTAAGCGCAATGATTCTATGTATCTCATTAATCTTAACATTTTTAACTCTTTATTTTCTGTACACTTTGTTTAGTACCAATTTAACAAATTAAAAATCGAAGACAGAAGTCAGTCACATTCAGAAACTCACCAAATAAACAGGTAATTTTAGTAGTTATCAGATATCAGGCGTACTTAGGGCTAATTGCACTTTACAAATGTTAGACCGAATTTTCATTTATCAGCTATACGGGAAACAATATATCATATGTATTCAGTGAACAACTTACCAACTTTAAATAAACTTTTGAGTAAATTAAAAAACAAACAAATAATCCCCGAGTGTCATAAAACTACTTTTTGGAGGTTTTTAAAATCTAAAATATCGCTCCGGATAAGAATGCTTCGATGTTATATTTTCTCTACCCTTTTGTATGAGGTTGAAGCTTGGACACTTAAAAATCCAACATTAAAAACCTAGAAGCATTCGAAATGTGGTGTACCGACGTATTTGGAAAATATCATGGATGGATCGCAAAACAAACGAACAAGTTCTTGAACAACTAGGAAAACAATGCGAAGTTTTAAATTCCATAAAAATCAGGAAATTGCAATACTTGGGGCACATCATGAGAGGTGAAAAATACGAACTACTAATGAATATAATGCAGGGTAAAATCAAAGGCAGAAGAATCGTAGGAAGACGCAAAATCTCGTGGCTACGCAGTCTCCGTGAACGGTTTGGATGCAGTTCAATTGAACTATTCAGGCGCATAACCAACAAAATTATAATTGCCAGAATGATTTCCAATCTCCGATAGGAGTGGAACTTGAAGAAGAAGAACAAGAAAATCTAAAAGTTTTATGTTTAAACCAGTGAATAAACGGCAGGCAATTATGGAATCCAGCCGCTTAATAAAGTGGAGGTTCGATTATTTGGAGAGTCTAAGGTCTTTTCGGAGTAAAGGAAGAACTTGTATTATTTGAATGAAACTTGGTTCGACAGCCACGATATAGTTAAAAAATGTTGGACCGATGGTAATAAAAATTGCGTCACCAATGTTCCTCCCTCTACAGGAAAAAGAATTTGTATTTGACATTGTGGGGGAGAATCAGGATGGGTAGAAGATGCTTTATTACTCTCTGCTAAGAGTGTGTAATAAAACCAGAATTTATAATCAGTGTATACTCCCTATACTCACGTATGGTTCACAGACGTTGACACTCACCAAGTCCAATACGAATAAAATAGTAAAAGCACAAAGAGAGATGGAAAGATCAATGCTCGGGGTGAGACTTATACACAAAAAAAAAACAAACAAATGGATTAGGAGCAAAACTAAAGTAAAAGACGCAGGAGAACATGCTGCGAAATTAAAATGGAGCTTCGCAGGACACAATGTCCGACTGAAGGATAAGAGATGGAGTCACGAAATACAACAACGGAGGCCATGGTTAGGAAAGAGAAGCAGAAGAAGACCACAAATGAGATGGGCTGATGACATTAAGGAGATCGGAGGACACAACTGGCAGCAAGCGGCGCAAAATAGAAGACACTGGATTAATTTGGGGGAGGCCTATGTCCAAAGTTGGATTACTTAAGGCTAGAGAAGAAAAGAGTGTAAGTGTAAGTAATTGTCACTTAGATTATCATCAAGATATGGACAGTACTTTGTTTGAAAAGTGGTTTGAGCAGCAATTACTACCTAAAATTAAAAAAATAGCGTTATTATTTTGGATAATGCTCGGTATCATTGTAGACTAAAGAGTAAAATTCCCAATACCAATTCAAAAAAAGCTGAAATTCAAGAATTTTTATCAAAACATGAAATATATTTTATGGATACTTACACAAAAAAAACAACTTGTAGAACTATTAAAATTAGTTAAATGTGGAAAAAATTATGTTATCGATAGCCTAGCTGAGAATTATGGCCATAAAGTATTAAGATTACCTCCTTGCTATTGTGTATTAAATCCAATAGAATTGTTGTGGTGTCAAGTAAAAAGTAATGTGAGGAAAAATAATAATTTTACTAAATCATTTTCGACTGTTGTAGATTTAATTAAGACCAAATGTAATACTATTACAGCAGATAATTGGAAAAAATGTATAGAGCATGTCAAAAAACTAGAAGAAAAATACTTACAGTTCCAAAACATTATAAATAGAGTAGTTATAGAATATCATGGACAGACAAGATAACCAACGAGACCGTATTACGAAGAGTGGGCAAAGAAAGAGAGGTGATGTATACCATTAAAATGAGAAAGTTGGAATATCTCGGACATATAATGAGAAACAGCACTAAATACAGATTACTGAAGGTAATCCTACAGGGTAAAGTATTCGGAAAGCGAGGAATTGAGAGAAGGAGAATATCATGGTTGAAGAACCTGAGAAAATGGTTTTCCACAACAACAACGAATCTATTTAAAGCATCAGTCAATAAAATAATTATAGCCAGAATGATTGCCAATATTCGGAACGAATAGGCACTGAAAGAAGAAGAAGAATAGATTTAAACGATAGCGATGATAATGATACCGATTTAAATGTAGACGATAGTTAAGTTTAAAATTATTTTTTTTTGTATTTTTTCACTATGTTAAATATATATTTTAATATAAAAGTATTGCTTATATCTATTTTTCTTTTACTTTGTGGGATTGCCGTAATTTTGATAAGGTGTATCAGTATATAAGTCCGACCCTGTATACAACTATACCTAGAAGATTAAATCCGAAATATCTTGCAAGTTGCAACGAACAGTACATAGAGGGACTAACTCGACTGATCAGAACTCAGAACTGAGGAGATGAGGATGGAGTCGGTCGAGAACATGGACGTATAAATAAAGATTTCTATTTATAAGATCTTTATTTATACGTCCATGGTCGAGAATGTTAGAAATATCTCGGAACTTCTCGCGAAGAGAGACATCGGTTCTGGATCGGTTTTGCAAATATCAATTTTACTTATTCTCGGTAATTTGATAATTAATATACATAATAATTCATATAATAACATAATATACTGTTATTGTACGAAAGGGGGCGAGGTGAAACTAATTATAGAAAATTGGGTGGTAAATGGTAAAAGGTCGAGAAACGCTGTTATAGAGTAATAGTGCGCATATGTGCGCACACTTTCTTCTTTGTGCATTACATCTTAAAACAATATATTTTTTAAACATTACTCAGACAATGATTAGTTTAAGGCACTTTACATAACCAAATATATTTTCCTCAAGGGACTGCGTCACAGTGTTGCCGTATTTTTTTTTTTGAAAAGGTTTGAAAAACAAGTTACTTTTACGAAATTATAATTTGTATTATGAAAAGCTACAAGTTTTGAATAAGTGTAAAACAGCATTCATAAAGATTTTCTGTTACTTTAAATTTCAGTTAAATATTGTAAATTATTTGACAGCACTTTCCACATCTTGTCTATTAGAACCTTATTATTAGGTGCGAATGGCCAACCCCCTACAATGACACTTGTGAATCATAAACTGTAAATTTCCGAAGAAGTTTTGGGCAATATGCAGTTTCGGGCACTCTACGTAATCAAGCTTTTATATGACATTTAACATACGCCTAAATGGTGTCAGAGTCGCCAAGTCTTCAGTTTTTTCATACTCTCACATAATATTATAGAAATGCATTGAAATTATATAAAAAATCATAGATTTTAATTAAATTAAAGATAATAATTAATTGCATATACAATAAAATTGATTAAAAGGATGTAAAAAATTAGTAATATTAATCAAATTAACATATATAAGAAAAATTCACTGAAATATACAATGCATTCTCATAATACAAATTATAATTTCGTAAAAGTAACGTATATTTTAAACCTTCATATACATTTTACAAAAAATATGGCAAGTTTTATAATTATTTAAAATTTTTAGCTTCTCATAACACAAATTATTATTTCGTAAAAGTAATATTTATATACATATTGTACATACTAAAATAAATACGGCAACACTGTGACGCAGTGCCTTCAGGAAAAGATATTTGGTTATGTAGAGTGCCCTAAACTGCGAATCGCTCCATTTCTAATATACAGTGGTGAGTGCTTTATCAACCGGCTTTTTAACGTAAGAGATAGAAAACACAGTTACCTTGTGAAATAAAAAGAGATGAAACTCGTAGAGGTGGGAAATAATCGATAGAAACCTATAATTTACATTACATTGCATTAACACTATCGATAGTCTCACACCTTTAGACGTTAGTTCAGCTAAATCACCTCGGTCATAATTATTATTTGTGACGTCGTATGTGTAACGTATTTCAGTGACATTTTTTTAAATTTGCATAAAGTAAAAAATGATAAATGATTGACCACAATAAAAAAAGCAAAAATGTGAATACAATAAATTAATTATTAGTGAATATTTAATCTAAAGTTTTGAAATTAATAACCAAAATCATTTCTATGCTTTGAGGAGTTTCATACACTTTTGTCACGAAAATAAAGATCAGTCCTTTGTGGATTAGTGATAAGAATTCGACACTGCGACGCAGACGATTAGAGTTCAAAACCCATATGTGGTTTTCTTTTTTTTTAATAATTTGAAATTATGCAGAGATCGTTTTGATTTGAATCACTAAACATTTATGTCAGTCGTTACTAATATTAGAAGTGTTTAAAGTTACACATAAATATCTTTTTGAATTTGAATTATTTTGTATTTCCATTTTATAACATTGGAATAAGAATAAATTGTAAATAATGAGTTTTTGAAAACTTGTTACCTAATATGTATAATATTTTCTATTATTTTTTGATTGAGTAAAACAAAAATTTTATCCTTGGTGGGAATTGAACCCCAATCTTCTTGTCAATAGACCACGTGTCTAATAATTACACCAACTCCACATACAATTAATGTTTTCGGATAGAAGATACTTGCCTTTAGTTTAGTCAAATATTTCAGTTGATTTATTTTTATTATTGAATAAACTTAAAGATTTATAATTTAAAATCGCTACTAATTAATGTTTTTTACTTTAATTCTTAATTTATTCAGTCATTTATTCTTACATCAGAAATTATGAAAATAAAATATTTTCGCGGTCATCCGTATAATTATTATGACTGAAGTCAGAACTAGCTTTATCTCATTCTTTCTCACAAAATCCATCTTCTATCCTTTCCGCTATTTTGCCGGGTTTTAAAGCGACTTAAAACACTTCTAATACTATAATAACGTCTAAAGGTGTGAGACTATCGACGGTGGTAATGTAATGTAATGTAAATTATAGGTTTCTATCGATTATTTCCCACCTTTACGAGTTTTATCTCTTTTTATTTCACAAGGTAACTGTGTTTTCTATCTCTTACGTTAAAAAGCCGGGCGATAAAGCACTCACCACTGTATACAGTAATTTTATTAATACTATTAATTTTTTATATAATTTTAATCAATTTTATTGTATATGCATTTAATATTATCTTTAATTAAATAAACTCTATCAAATTTTATATAATTTTGATGCATTTCTATAATATTGTGAGAGTATGAAAAAACTGAAGACTTAGCAACTCTGACATCATTTATGCTTATGTTAAATGTCATAAAAGTTTGGTCACAGAATAATAAACAATCAGAATGCCCACTCTTCATGAAAACTTAAGTACACGCATGACGCATCTCGTTCGCGCAAACGTTCCGCAATGTTTTAAAGGGCACCAGCGTTGTTCAGTGAAAATTTATGTAGTGTGCATAGAAAAATTAACTCGATTTAATTGACGGCAATCATAGACATACTATGCAATTATTTTAACATTGTTAAATATAATAACATAAATATAAATATAATATAATTAAATATAATTTAGTTAAACATAAATATAAACAATGACATAACCTCATAAATCATATGTCGATAAAGACCCATTACACCAAATGTGATTCTCAATCCGAGTCTGTGTTCTCTGTGTTTCCTTCTAAAACATGGCGATCGCGTGCTGAAAAACTTCAAAGGCGGCATCTGAGAGTGGACATTCTGATTGTTTATTATTCTGTGGTTTAGTTATAATGCATGCCTTAAACTAATCATTGCCCCACTAATCATATGATAATTATAGTAATAGATAATGCAAACCATGCATACTTAAATACTTAATTATAAAAAATAACAGTTATGAAAATCAACTAAAAACCATGGACTTACTTGCTTCAGTTGAATGAAAATTTATAAATAACATGCACGAAATCGAAACACGTATAGGTATTACACTTATGTTATGATGAAACAGACATGAGCATCATTGCAATGGCCATGACCACATAAAGATAGACAAGAAAATTACCTGAATAAAGGTCGAGATATAACAAGAATATCCAAGGACATTTATTCACGAGACTGAATCACATTATTATGATACTGTGTAAGTTTTTCACTATAAAAGTTACAAAAAATTGGATACCAAATATAAATAATTGTTTCCAGTAGTGGACTTTGCCAGCTTGTTTATGATACATATTAAAATATTATCCAATGTTGATATCATCAATCTTTGGAATCTTATAAAAAACCATTGATAGATGATTGATAGTTTATTGTGAAGGTCATAGCATGAGTATTTTAAAACAAAAGCGCCGGACTTTGGTTTAAAATAAAATAGGCAAACGTTTTCTTAATATTATTAAATTTGAAACACCTACATAATATTACTATATCGTTGTGTTGGTATCCAATTTGAACGAGTGACTAATTTTTTTAAATATTGCTTAGACTGCTTAGAGATAGTAAAAGTGGAAACTAGATATTCATTTAGTGCGCTTCGCAATACATTAACCTTCATAAGATTTGGAATATATCTATTTAACTATCATTACCTAACTCGTAAGCACTGGACAGTACCGGATTTGTGTGAAATTAAATACGAGCGCTGTTTTAACGTTATTAAGTATCAGTGAAACTCGTTGGTTGGAAAATAGTATTTATCATATTAAAAACCATGTAATATGTCCTTTCGGTAACAAAGACTCAAAATATAAACTGAGCAGGCATAATGATAAATCTATACCTCGACATGGCTTAAACGTTCTCCCCTTGTCTGGTCATGATACTGTAAGTAAATCATCGAGCAATAAGACAAAAGAGGGAATCTAATCGTTATAAAAAGGAGATCAAAAAAGTGGCCTCTGATGGCGGACATATCCGGAAATGCAAATGCGCCAAATTTAAATTTCATGACACTTGACAATAATCATACAGTGGTGTAGGGGTTCTAATTTATCTATTTATTTATTTATTATTATATATTTATCTATTTATTTATTAAAATACTTTTTTTAACACTAGAACACAATAAAGTTTTAATTAATTAGTAACGATAATAGTCTAAAATGTTAAACAATTGTTAAAAAACTTCAATAGAAAATATAAATAAGCTTTCATGTTACAGTTTTGACAAACAATAACATCAACAATAACATAACCCAACTAAATTTGATTTCTTAAACAAGGAAAGAGATTCTCTTTCTTTGTTTAAAGTGGCCTCTCAAAATAGCACTTCCTGTCTATCAATATGTTTATCCCCACTTCCTTTACATTCCCTCTTTTGTCTTATTGCTCGATGGAGTAAATACACAAGTCAGAATAATGTCTCTCCTACTGTGGTCACTCCTGGTTGATGACTTATATTTTTACTAGGTGGTGCAAAAGAAAAAAAAACTTTCTGTTAATCCTAGTAAAAGAGTAGCGGTTAGTTTTTGAAGGGGAAGGAATATCATAACATTTGGATGCCTGCTCGGTATTGAAAAAACATTAAAGAAGCCAATGAGACCAAATCCACCTCAATCTTTTCTCCTTCGTAACGATGTAGTGGCGTCATGTAATTTGTTTGACTATTTCTGTCCAATTATCTCTCCTGTGCGTGTTATTTTGCTTCAGATAATGAGTAACCACTCATCTCCTTTATTTGGTCCGACTTTTACCCGCTACGTTACCTTCAACTATCATTCACTCTATGCATTCTCTTCTTCTAGTTATGTCCAAAATATTTTAGCATATTTTGGTTGATAGTTGTGATGAGTCTAGTTTTTATGATAAGTTCTGCTAGAATTGAGTTATTTGTGCGATGGACGCTCCATGGTATGCACAACATTCTACGGTAGACGTACATTTCAATTCCCATTATACGCTTTTAATCGGCTTTTTTATTGTTTCTGAAGTTTCTGAAGCATAGTTGGCTATAGGAAATATCAATGTTCGAACAAGGCGTAGTTTTGTGTGTTTTGTAATGTCCGTGTTCTTCCAAATTTGTATGAGTTAGGCTGTTGCCGATCTGTCCATTGTGATGCGTTGATGGATCTTGTTTTCGCATCCTCCACTGTTAGTAATATCGGAGCCTATGTAATTAAATTGCCTGACCACTTCGTAATCTGCCATGATTCTTGTCTCTGCCTGGTTGTTTTTGGTTTTCTGCATATTTATTTTCAAACCATATCCCGTAATTACCGTGCCAAGCCTACTTATAGTTTGTACTAGTTCTTCTGATGATGACGCCAATATAACAGTATCATCAGTGTAATGAGCATAACGTCGGTTTCTGACTTTTATCCTCCTATCGTTGCTCCACCTTGCCATTCCTCAAAAACTTGACGCATAATATGTTCACTATATATATATATATATATATATATATATATATATATATATATATATATATATATATATATTGTAATGACAACAGAAATACAATAAATACAATACAATACAATAAATTAGCATAGAAATATATTTAAGTCAGCCTTGTGTATATACAACCAGATATACACTGTTAATATACTAGATAATATTATCAAAAAATAATTATATGAGGGTATTTTTAAGAATCTAGCATATAATAAATGTTGAAAGTTTTTTTTTAAATATATATATATATATATATATATATATATATATATATATATATATATATATATATATGCTCCTAAAATACATATACGACAATGCAACTATGCAAATAAATGTAGCAGAAGGCCTAACAACAAACAAAATAAGATCAGAAAGAGGTGTTCGACAGGGAGACACCATATCTCCAAAATTATTTACTCTTGCATTAGAAGATGTGTTCAAGAAGTTAAATTGGGAACAACTCGGAATTAAAATTGATGGCAGGTTTTTAAGCCATCTAAGATTTGCCGATGACATAGTACTCATAAGCAACAATACAGAGGAACTAATCTACATGCTGAAGGAGCTTAAACAAGAATCTGAAAAAATCGGTTTAAAAATGAATTTAAATAAAACAAAAGTAATGACAAATCAAAATATCACAATCGACTTAGATGGAAGTGAGATCGAAAGTGTCGAAGAGTATATATACCTAGGTCACACCATCAAACTAGGCAAACAGAATCAAACAGCAGAGATAACTAGAAGAATCCGAATGACTTGGGCAGCAGTAGGCAGACTCAGTGATGTGTTGAAGAACAAAAAGATACCAATAAATCTAAAGAAAAGGGTATTCAACAGTTGTATTCTACCGGTCATGACTTATGGAATGGAGACCATGACACTTACAGAGTTGTCAGCCAACAGATTAAGAACAACACAGAGGGCCATCGAACGAGCTATGTTGGGAATATCACTAAGAGAACATATACGAAACGAGGACATACGAAGCAGGACGAAGGTGGAAGATGTAATTGGAAGGATTGCACAAATGAAATGGAACTGGGTAGGGCACGTGGCACGGCAAAACAACGACAGATGGACGAAAAACATTGTACATTGGAGACCACGCGAACACAGTCGGAGTAGAGGAAGACCACAAAAACGATGGATAGACGACATCAAAGCAAAAATGGGGAGAAACTGGCACCAAATAGCACAAAACAGGGAAGAGTGGAGAACTCATGGGGAGGCCTTTGTCCAGGAGTGGATGCAAACAGGCTGAAGAAGAGATATATATATATATATATATATATATATATATATAATAAAGTTTTATTTTGAGGATGCAGTCACTTAAGTAGGGCAGGATAAGTTAAACTCTTTGTTCTTAAAGCAAACTTTCGCAAAATTTATTTGCTTCATCAGGATATGCTAAAATATGTTATGGTAAATACAATGAAATTAGAATTAAAAAACATTGTATAAAACTAATATAAAAACTTACAACATGAGGTTAAACCATTAAATTATTAAATTCACAAAACATTCTTATAAATTTAATAATTTAATGGTTTAACCTCATCTGGTAAATTTTTATATTAGTTTTATACAATGTTTTTTAATTGGAATTTCATTGTATTTACCATAACATATTTTAGCATATCCTGATGAAGCAAATAAATTTTGCGAAAGCTTGATTTAAGAACAAAGAGTTTAACTTATCCTGCCCTACTTAAATGACTGCATCCTCAAAATAAAACTTCATTTTACATAAAGTGTCAGTCAATAATACCTAACTACTTTATATATATATATATATATATATATATATATATATATATATATATATATATATATATAAAGTCAGTCATATGTATATGCAACCAGATATACACTGTAGTGTCAAAGTCAAAAAGGAGTTTATTTATTGGGAATATTAATTTAAAATATAATTACATATTTAAAATAGTCATAATATATTTGATATAAATGTGTAAGTTACATATGATAGTGTAATTCTGATCTAAGAGCCTAAATGTTAGTTAAATTGTACATGTAGAACAGAGAAAGTTCTAGAAACGTCAATAGGACTATTTGCATAGTCCATCACATAAACAAAAACCATTCCATTTATTCCAGAATGTTCAGATAGAAAAAAATAGAACGATTCGAAACTTATTTATTGCTAGATTATTCTGAAACCAGGAAAAATATATAAATACCATGTAATTTGGAGCAGATGATCAGTTATCAGTTAGATGAAGTCAAGTACAGATATTCAGTTAGTATGAGTTAGTGAGTTAGTTAGAAGAATTCAAGGCATTGAGTTACAGATTATTATTAAGTTAGAGTTGATTCGCGAAGTGAATTAAGTTACAAAAAGTTACAGTCAATTATTAAGTGGATTAGTTTAAAGAATTTAAGATTTCAAGGATTATTGTTAAGTCAGTTACATTAGATTATTAATTATAAAGAAGAGTTAAGAAGAATTTATGAGGTTATGAAGAGATTATTAGCTAGAAGAAGGCATTGATTAAGTTAAATGAATTAATTAAGTCAAATACAAGTGGAGACTAA